ACACACACACACACACACACACACACACACACACACACACACACACATACACACACACACACACATACACACACACACACACATATACATACACACACACACACACACACATATACATACACACACACACACACACACACATATACATACACACACACACACACACACATATACATACACAGACACACACACACACACACACACACATACACACACACACACATATACATACACACACACACACACACACATATACATACACACACACACACATACACACACACATACATACACACACACACACACACATGTGCAGAAGGTTTTAGTCGGCACACACACACGTCCTCCCAAAAACTGAAGTACGATGTCACAGTGTCAGTGAGCTCATCCAGGTCTGTAGCAGCAGCAGCCTCAAAAACACTCCAATCAGTGCAGACAAAGCGGGACTGTGGCTCCAGCTTTGTCTCGTTGGTCCATCTCCTCCGCCAATGATCAGAGAGTCCCAAAGCTGCACGGGGGCCTGAGCGATATGCATCCTTTGTCAGTGTAGCAGTGGTCCAGTGTGTTTTCATATCCCCCAGATAGCGCCGTCACGCGGTCCGCTCGGAGGAGCTGGAAGCCCGGCAGACATAGTGTGCTGTCCGGGATGTGCTCACCAAGTCAGGTTCCAGTGAAGCACAGGGCGGCGGATTTGCTGAAGTCAGCGTTTGTTCTGTTGAGGAGCAGCAGTTCATCCGTCTTGTTGGCCAGAGAGCGGACGTTCGCCAGATGGATTGACGGGAGTGCAGTTTGAAATCACCCGCTGCCGAAGTTTAAGGAGCTCTCCTGCTCGCCTTTTCTCCCGTCGGCGTCTCCGGCAAATCCCGCGGAGAGCCGCTGCTCCTCAACTAAAAAGCTTGGTAAAACTTTCCGGTTCAATGAAAAACAGCGAAAAAGTGTGACCGGTGGATTGTCGGATGTTTAAAAGTTCCTCCCTGCTGAATGTGATCAGAGAGGGAGAGCTGGAGACGAAACAAATGAACAAAAACAGAAAAAGTACCAGAGAGCGCAGTACCGAGGCGCCATCTTGATCTTCTCAGCTTTATACATTATACACTAGAACTTTTATTCCCCGTTTACACTTCAATTGTATTTCCTGTTAATTTTCAAGATTTTTTTTACCAAGTTTCTGGTGTTAATTACTTCAATCATTAACAACAATTCATGCAACGTATATCTATGCATTTATTTGTTACATTTTGTTGTACAACGCTAGGAAAGTAAGGTTTAAGTCACATGATCCCAGTCACTTAAGCACAGTTATCGACTAAATACTGGTATCTTATCGGTACTCCGTATCGGCCGACACCCAAAGCACGGCTATCGGGACTGAAGAAGTCGCACCGGTGCATCCCTAAATTTAAGTGTCGCCAAAACAGAGCTTCGTGTGGACACACAGAGAAAAAGCGCAAGCACTGAATCAAGGCACGCAAACATCAGACATAAAATAAAATAGGTTTTACTTTTTCTTCTACAGTGGTCATGATGTAAACACAACATTGATTTAGATATGGACAATCATCTATATGTCAAGTCCCTGCCCATCAGACTGGCCTTCAAACTGGAGCTGTCATTTTCAGCTGGTGTGAGACTTTAGAGTTTAGACTTTAGAGTCTCCACCGCCTCCATCCTGTCCATTGTTTCCACCTGCCATACAGCTCGCTGTTTATGTACCTGCTCATTTCAGCATGAATATTATCAGGGTGGAATGTGGCTGAGGTGTGTGGAAGGGTCACTGGTGTCGGTTAGTGGTGCCCACTTAGTGTAGCAGGGAAAGTAGGGGAGAGTTCAACTGCACGTACCACACCCTCACCGCAACAGAATGTTTTGTGTGCTTCTAAGTGATGTTTGTTTGGATCAGCCCGGTCCCTCCCGCTCGTTACTATAACTCGACAGACTGTAATTTTTGAAGTGGAGCTGTCACTTTCAGCTGGCAGCACTTCTAAAGTGCAACTAATACCGGATTTCTGAGGCATTCACGTTTCCCGGCAACACAGTCACAGCAGCGACCCGGTGACAGCCGTGTAAAATAAGCGTGCGATACGATACGATAAGAGTGAGCGTTCATGCGTTACTACTTCTTATCCGCATCCATCATGCAGAATTTGAAAGTCAGAGAAGCAGATGGTGTTGTTATTGTAAGAACTCTTTGAGAATGTAAACTTCGCGAGTGACCACAAGGCAATGCCAAGATGCTGCTGTGGATATTTTAAACTCCAGCTGATTAAATACATCGCCAGCTTTATGTGCAACAGAGAAAAGATCAGCCATCTCCTCCAACTTAAAAAGGGTTATTTTGGGTCACTTGAATTTGGGTTGTGAGAGGCATTTATCCATAGTTAACGTATTAGCTACAGTAGATGTCCGTCGGCACGCCCCCAGTTTAGAGAAAGTACTTTAAGTGTACGCTATATTTAGAATATCTTCATTCGTCAGACAGCCCTCTCGGGGATCTGGAGGCAGTTTCTATTCTCTCTTCAAAGCTACCAGACTCCTGTTGTTGAGTGTTGTAGTGTGTATTGTGTTAATGTGTGACTTTGGTGTTTTACGGGTTAGCTCGGGTTCACCAAAGTCACACATTAACACAAACAAACCAACCGATTGAGGCAGCGGTAGACCAGCAACTCTGGTGTTCTGACATGGTAAAAAGGTTTTGTGAATGGAGTCCGGTTGCCTTTGGAGGAAGCAGAGAGAGCGGCTTCAGCTCCCCGTCAGAGAGGGCTGTCTGACGAATGAAAACAGTCTAAAAATAGCGCACACTTAAAGGGATATTGATTTTATTAGGTGGCTAAAATACGTAAAATAAGCACCTCATACGGCACCACTTAAAACTCTACACTGTCCCTTTAAGAAGGTGAAGGCAGAGGTCCCCGTGTACCTTAGTGGCAGGTGCTGCTGTATCATCGTGATGAGCCCCATGCTGGGATCCGAGCGCATGTACATGGTAGCCAGGATCGCTATGACGACAAAGAGCCAGGAGGAAGGGCTGGCAGGGTACACTCCCTTGATCACCCGGTTCTGTCACCACAGAAGAAGAAAAAAAAAAAAAGGCACTCTTTTACACTGGGGCAGAAACAGAGGTTCGTTTGAGAAACAACTCGAGGACTTTACGGTTAAGAGCAAAACATTTTTGAAGAATGCTATCTTTACATTTCCCCTCATGTTCCCACAATGTCACATATTGAGTTAATTCATCAAACCCAAGATGTTTGAACATCACATCACAACAGTCACTTGCAGAGACCGGCAGGATTAGTAGAGAGAGAAACCAGCACACGCACATATCAACAGCTCTGAGCCTGTCGGCCCAGAAGGGGCCACAATGCATGCCAGTACATGTTAGGAAAGGCACCTCACCGCTAACCTATACAGGAGGGACTTTACGCCCTGTAATGAGGCCTTCTGCGTTTGCATCACACATGAGGCGTCTTATGTCGACTGTAAAATCCTCTGTGACAAACTTGTGATTTTTGACTATTTAAATAAAACTGAATTGAGGCTCTTACATAAACTAAAAAGGGACTTAAGGCCTCTTTTAAAACTAAAGCAATTAACTAAAATTGGATGCGATGTTTGACCAAATGATGACAGCATGAATGGCACACACACACACACACACACACACACACACACACACACACACACACGCACGCCCATCATCCTCACCCTCAGGCGGCTGCATCGTTTCTTCCAGGATCGTACTCCGGACTGGTAGATCTGGTTCAGGGCCTGGTAGGACAGCTGCAGATCGATCCCCTCCGGTGTTATGGTGAACTGGAACGCCACCGCCTGGTGGGCCTCCGCCATCGCTATGGGAACACGAGTGAACAGGAACGTAAACACCAACGATTGCTCCTCGTATCGACGACACGGCGAGGAACTCTGTACTGGTTGTGAGAAAGTGAGCAGACTGCCGGACCACCGCTGCTGCAGTAAAAAAGGGATTCTGGTGCTCGGAAACACGACCACAATCGACACAAAATCAAAGTTCCTCGTAGTAACTTTAAGTAATAATGAATCATTTATTAGAGTTAAGACAGCAGCATGCAATTCATCATTGCAGAATGTGTTGTTGACCCCAAAAAAAAAAGTGTCAATTCTTTGGTGTCTTACGTAACTTTACATCCTCATTACTTCCCTGGGACTTTGGCATTGACTGACTATAAACATAAGAATGGGTTTTACAAGCCAGCGGGTCGCTCGGTGTGTTTGTATGAACACCCTGTGCAACAACACTTGAGTAATTTAATGCGTCAGTGGAATGTTGTCCCACTGAAGCACCGAGAATAGAGTAAACGCTGGTCACACTACGTTATACAGAGGCTTTAAATGAAAAAGACCTGCAAGTTCAACCATATATTGAAAAATCAAACCTGCCGATACACACGCACACAAAAAAAATCCTTAAACATTTAGGGTGTAGCTGTGAAATATCAGGTGGACTGCGTGTGTCCTACATGGTTATGTGAATATGTCCCGATATCGCCGCTTTAATTCCTGCACTGTTACTGTGCAAGTGAAGCAGATTAATAGACGAAGGTGCCGCTCATGGTCAAACTAATGGGAGGTCCTTCCTCTTTGTGGGTGGATTTAGTGTATGAAAGTAATTTTTTAAAAAAATTCAAAAACTTCAGCTGAGGAAACAGTGCTACATGCAGTCAATATAGAGCATTTCATTCAGTCATCAACGATCTGACAATATGAATTATTCAATACTTATGAGCTGCTAGCTTTGAGAGCACACTGGCAGCTAAACAGCATGGAGGATGTATGTCACTACTTGGTGAGCACATCCAAGAGAAATCCTCCATCCGAGTGATCTTGATATCATCATGTGTTCACATGATAATATCTCATAAATGTAGTGTTGGTGAGAAACTTGAATAAATCCAGTTGTTTGAAGGAGATGTTTTCACAACAACATAAATAGATATTAGAGATGAATCACGACCCGTTTAAAATACATCATTAAAACTAGCAATGACTAGATTTGTTTCAATCCATAAACATACAATATTTTATTTCCTAATCTTCTGAATTGTGTGTTTTGTATCAAACGACAATATGGATCATCAATGATCGGCAATTACTGTCGGCAGCAAAAGAAAACAGTGATCTCTAAAAGTTATATTCGCTCCTTTTTTCTTTTGTGCTGATCTTATCCGTGACTTTTATGTCAGTGTATTATACCGACGTATAATGTAAACAAAAGCAGATACGATTGCTATTGTTTACATGAGCAAACATTTTGCTTCAAGAGTGAAAACTCTTCAGAAGCCACTCCCAGCTTCCCAAGTTGATATTATTTTAACAACATGAGACATCCAAAGTTCTCCAAAGCGGTGCTTGGAGAGCAAAAAGCTCCGATGAGCTCATGGAGGGAAGATAGGACTAAGTCTTCTTCTCACATAAACACGTCGCAGTAGGAAAAGCATCCACTTTAGTTTCCATTTCATTTTGTGTTCTTACTTCTGCTTTAGAGCTGTAGTCTGATTACTTAGCTTTATCGTCCTTTACTTGCTGCTAAAAAAAAAAAAAAAAAAAAAAAAAAAAAAAAAAAAAAAAAAAAAAAGTATTCCACTTTTAAAAAAGGCTGTTACGAAAGTAAACATTTTGATTCCCAACATGCGATCATGTGATCAGTTTATCCAAAAATGCAAAGTAACCAGACTTAAACACGCTCTAAAAACAGAAGTAAGATCACAAAATGACACAGTGCGGAGGCGTCCTAGTTCAGGTGAATACCTCGAGAGACTTTGGTTGTTAACGTTGCTCAGATGTGTTGACTTTTTACAGTTCAATGTGACAAAAACAAACATTGCCATTCAGCGTACAGCCTTCTACACCAAGTGAGCGAGTAGAAAATGAGAGTGAGGGAAAGAATGTGGACCGGACTATAAATCATTCATTCCATCAAATTACTAAATAGCAAAAAGTAGCATTACATGATATGATCTAATTGGGGAACAATATATTGGGACTTGAATATTTATCATCCGTGTTGATCACACCTGGTTTTATTGCTCGTGACCATTGAAGACATGTGTACTTAAGCCTGTGTATGCGTGAGTGTATGTATGACCCATGTTCTATACGTGGATTGTGATGCTTGGAGTCCCAGACTAATTTTTGAAAAGAAAAGAGGCGGAGCAACGCACAGCTGTTGCAGATGAAAATAAGGCCCCTGGCACACAGTGGATGAGGACGCAGCAATTATGCAGTAGGTCAACATATAATAATCTCTCTTTGAGGCGTTGGTTCGTGTGTGCATTTAGCAGACCACTGTCATCTCTTCTCCCTCTCTTTTCCAGCCAGGCAATTGATCGCTGCATAGTTCGCACTTCCCACAACTGACTGTGTGTGTGTGTTACCGAATATGAGAGTGAGAGTGAGAGCGAGAGAGAGAGACTATTCTTTACTTCCAGCTTGTTGTTTTTTCCCCTATGGTTTGGCAACACAGATGTATTGATTTGTCATGCCAATTAAGTAAAACAAAGTTGAAAGATTTAAATTGAGAGAGAGTGAGGTTGAGCTCCGATCACCTAGCAGCTCCCTGCCAAGTGGACCGCTGTTAGAAACTAATCAAACCAACAGCTGAGAGCAGCTGGCGTCGAGCTCTGGAGACGGTGTTGCTGAGTTTTTACCCATAATGTTGATCGATATTTAACCCGAACTATCCTTTCCCCTAAACTAGTCTGGACCCGAAAGCCAAACAGTTACCTTTAGGTTGACCGTGTAGAAAATAATCTAAACCCCTAAACTACTTCTAGCTTTAACTAGTACATGAAGGAAGAGAAATGTAAAACCCAGAATGTCCTTTAACAACTGTTCTCTAAGTATTTACAGAATCTTTAGAGACTTTTCTAACCATCTGATGGAAAACAAGATAACTATATGTTATAAAGGCATCAATATAAAAGATAATGATGTGTTCATGCTGCACACGTTGAGAGAGGAAAGTTACTTCATTTCTGGATGCCATGGTGACGGCTTGCAAAAGCAAACAAAAGAGTGAATAACTGCTTAAAATGTACGAGATGCAACAATAACTACATTCTGTTGGATATTTAATAAAGATGGAGGATCTCTACTCGACACATAAAGTTGAGTAGTGGAATATAGTAAAGCTACAACTACGTGTTGGAATCCAAAAAAAGGCAAAAGACAACAGGTTGTACCTGCCGGAGTGGAAAGACGGGTGGCCTTTTATAATTTAGCATATCAATCAGTTAAGACAGGCACGGCGCGCGGACACGAGGGCGGCGGGAAGAAACGCGCGTGCACAAACCGATACAGTGCAATATTCACTGTTAGCTCGACTAAAACTTTGTCTCCTTCAAGATTCTGGATTGTTTGGGTTAGTTTGTTTTACTCTTGTTGGCCTAGCAAGCTAACAAGAAATGAGCTCTAATGTCTGACCTACACTATATATATATATATATATATATATATATACACACACACACATACATATACATACACACATACATACACACACACACACACACCAGTATGAGTGTGGCTGAGTCTAAACCAGACACTTTTAAGTAAATAGTTCACGTTGTACTGTACGACACAGCTCTCCAGCACTCGTGTGTGGGGGGAAATTAACTCCAACAGCGACCAAAAACTGCACAGAGAAGCCACACATTCAACACACATGTACAATACTAAACGCACAGTGAATTAGCATACACGCACTGTAGCCTGGTGTAAACTGTTCCAACGCACAATGGTCCATTCAGGCTGGGCCACAAAAGCCCACAGAGAGCAAAAGAAGACAGTAAAACGGCAAGAAGTGCGCCAGCAGCATCGTGAGAGTTGATTAAAGTACGATAAAAAAAAAAGTACCTGAAGTGTCTTTAGAGGAGTTTTGTAGGTAAGGACTTTGATTCAGACGTTAGCACCGCTCCCTTCTTCTCGAGCTGAGCGCACCCAGAGAAAGCGAGCTTTTCTTCACTCAACAAGGAGAGAACTCACCACGGCCAGCGGGCAGAGATAGCGTGAGTGTGAGATGAGGCACGCGGACGAAAAGATCTATCACTGTTTAAATATAGGCCTTAACTTTGACGCATGGGCAGTAGCTATGACAATATTATATTTATATATATATATATGCCATTATTTTGTTTTAAATACTGGGCCAGAATTATTTGTAACATTTTGCCCAAATTATCTTTCTTTTAGTAAAAGGTTTTTCACAACAATTTAAGTGGTTTGTATTGCGCCGCAATTTATCTAATACAAAATATAGTTTGTTCCGCTAAGCTTTGCTTTCGTCGTCCTCTGGACCCTCTGTTACTGTCAGAGTGAGAGCTCTTCGTTTTTCAAAGCTGTCTTCAGGAAGCGACAGCATTGGAGACCCGCCCACTTGTGACACGCACTACGTTTTTTTTTCAAAAGAGAAACATGCCGGTTGGCCGCGCTCCAACATTTCAACCTCCGCCTGCAGGTTTTCCTCATGCCGTTCATGCCCACTGTGACCTTTACTAATCTCAGGGTTGAACAATGTTCATGGTCTTTTCAGCACTTAAAAAAATGATGTATATTAAATGCAAAGCTGTATTTGTACCTGACACAGAACAGAGCATTCCTGCTCACATCCTCCCTGTTCACGTAGTCCATACGTAGTCCCTGCTCAGGTCATTCACGGGACACTTTCCACCCCTTTTTACTCTAAAACAGTGTAGGCTACACATCAGCAGCAGATTGCTACGCTAACCACTTGTAGCATAGTGGACGTGCAGACAACATCCACGGTCCGGACAGGTCAAGCATAGGAAGGGGAGCACCAGGCTTTGAAGCAAATTTTACATAATGGCCAAATGGCAGAATTACAACTTCCATGTCTGTCACATGACCCCATGGGCCCCAAAAATACTTATTTTTTTTTACCATAGACTTACATTGGGAAAGAGCCGTCTGTAACAATCTGGGTAAAATTTGTACTCGGAAGTCATATTTTTTTTGCTTCGTGCACCACTGAGCAACTTTCACAGGAATGAATGAGGCAACACTGTCGGTTCTGTTTTTACATCCATAGGTCAGGTCCGCACGGTCACACAAACTGCCGGTACGCGGACGTCTTACGCGTACACCAGTGGCATTATGTGGCTACGATGGGCCCCAGTGCACACTATTATTATGATGGGCCCTGGTGCAAGCTAGTTACCAGTCGTGAAGCACACACTATCATATTGTCTCATCACATGATCCAATAGAGACTTGTCATTGCACAGTATCAACATACATATTACCCAGCAAGCATCATTGCATATCTGTATATGACAAAAATACCAAATATAAGCAATTTTCCATTTAATATACATTTTTTAACAGTTCATTTATAGTTATTATAGTTAATGTAGAATGAGCATATCACGTTGGTATTGCTATTGACTAGATACTTCACGCGGACCCTCGCGTAGCCTTCTCACAGCTTATCATATGTCTCCTGGTTGATATAAAGACAAGCGCAGAGATACCCAGAGGTAGCTACTTCTCCGCACTTGTCTTTATATCAACCAGGAGAAATTTAACAGTAATTTTGTCTCTATTCCAGGTTTCGGATAATGACTGAACATCTTCATGAGTGCACAATGCAACAGAACTCAAACACCCGCGTGTATATTTCCATTGTTGTTTATTGGTCAGTATTTCTCACAGGCAATAATAATCATTGTCATAATAGTGCACTTTTCCTTTTTTGTAATTATACTACAAACATTTCTCTTCGTCGTTGTCATCATCATCATTTGTCGCGTTAGCTGTTTTTCTCAAACCCGCCCTCCCCCCACGCACCTCCCTCAATTTTTTTTCCTGACGTCACAAATTCTTCCTTCCACTGTGTGGAGCGGAGGTACACAAGATGGGGTGGGGGGCAGGTGAGGGGTGGGGGGGGAATATGGGCGGGAGACAAGAGATTATAGTCGTACAATTCTAACTGCAGAAGAAGAATGGGCAATAATGATGAGAGGAAGAGTCGTACGGTGACTACAGTGTCGATAAAATATAGTGTACATAGATATGGATGGCATACAATGGAGACAGAGACAGGCATAGAGTGTATACAAATGTATACAGCATCTGCGTTGAAGTATACGGCGCGTATAAAATGTATACAAGGGGAGGGGACGACTATATAAGGGGGTGAGATATGTGCAGTTGGGACAAGAATGGGCGTGGAGCATGATTCAAGAAATACAAAGAGGAGGAATGGGGGAGTGTAGAAAATATATAGTGAACGGGTGGAGGGGGGGTAAAAGAGGAATGAGGGAGGGAAGGGTGACATTTCTTTTATTAGGAGAGTTTTGCAAGTCTCGCAGCCGCAAATGTGCCAAGGATCCCGTTGTGTCTTTTTTGGAATGGATTTTGATGCAAAGTTTGCTCAAAGTAGAGCAAAACCTGCCGCATGCTTCTGCCTTTCGTTCTTTTTTTCCTCTTCCCATTCATGTCCTTTAACTCGTGTCTCTCTTCTCAAAAGTGTGTGTAAGGTGAACTTGACTCTGACCATATGTTTAAAGGAAAAAAAAAGAAAAAGACTATGACATAACACTCTCTTTCACGTATGTGTGTAACTATAAACCTCCCTGTCACTTTGACCTTCCAAATGCGTGTGGCCTCACTGCTGGAAGAGGCCCACTCTGAGCCCCAGGATGGTAAAAGAAAGCCTCTGATGACATGAGAAGGGGGGGGGGGGGGGGGGGGG